AATTTGTTTGTATCACATCAGAAAGGACAATGGGACAGTGTGTCACTAGCATTACTAATAATGCTGCAATTGATCATTTGATTATGACTGGCCTGGAGGTGGTGATGCAAGGAGGCCACGCTGACCTCCTGTTGCCCAGCAACTTCTTGTTTTCTGATTTTAACATCCCTCGGAAATCTGAATACATTGTCACCAAAAGATTGCTAAGTAGTGACTTTCTAATATTAGCAGTCCTTCTATGTTGATTATCTGTTGTCTTCTATAAAGCAGAGATTTTCCCTGCTCTTATGTTTTTAGAACAATTATCTCATGAATTCTTTTAAAGCTTAATATAATTTATCGTTGTCAATATTTACTTTCATGTTCAAAGTATCCCGAGTTTAGCTAGCAAGTGACGTGTTTTATTATATAAGTTTCTAGAGACTGAAAAGATACATCAGACTATTTCAACATTGACCCTAGAACGCCTGACAAGAAAACAAGCCAATCCCAAGTGCCTAAAATATTTACTCCTAAAAAATTATGTCCACAAAACCCACAATAGAATTGTGTTCACAGAACTCAATACTTAGCCTTGCCAAAGAGACTAGTGTGTGAAACAAGGGAGGTAAATGGAAAAGATATTTTTACTGTTAGAATGATATCAGTCTGCTGCATCTGTCTGTGGTCTGTGTCCTGTAACTTTATCTAAAGTGGTAGAAACCTCTTCCAGAAAGAGGTTTATTTTGCCACTGTGAGGTTTTCATTCTGGATCAGGGGGGCAGAAAGCTCGCTAGAATTGCCTGTCTTTTCTCCTGGGGAATTTTAAAATTTCCTCTTTGGAGCCTGTTGTTCTATTGTCTTAGATCTGCTTTGGGTGAAACTGTTTGGTGATCTCCAGGAGACTGTAGCAGAACTATTATTATTATTATTATTATTATTATTAGTTATTGTCCTAAGCTAATCTTGATTTGTCCCCTCTTTACTTTCAATGATATCTAAGAAACCTGCCTCCTCAGGTACACTCTCCCCTTGTTCCACTTTCCTAGGAGCTGCATTTCTGCAGTGAAGAAAGTGCCTCTGCCTTTGTACAACATAGGTCCTCAACCCCACACCTTGGACCTGTTAGGACCCTGCCCCCATAGCAGGAGGTGAGCAGCAGGCTAGAGAATGAAGCTTCATCTGTATTTACAGCTGCTCTGCATTGTTCCTGCTTCTGCTACTGCCTGAGCTCCTCCTGCTGTCAGATCAGTAGCAGCATTAGATTCTATCATGCACACAATCTGTATTGTGATCTGGGTCTGTGAGAGATCTAGGTTGCAAGCTCCTTCTGATCATCCGGGACACCCACCCCCCACCCTGCACCATAGAAAAAATTGTCTTTCATGAAAACAGCCCTGGGTGCTGGGGGATCTCATTGTCTGGTGTGAGGTTTCTTTTTTGAAAGGCTTCCTTAGTTGGGTCAGCATATCTGGCCCTGCCTGTCTAGGTAAGGCCCTCACACCAGAAAGTTTGCAAAGCACATTGTGTGGCTCTCATGGAACCCAGCTGCCTTGCACTGAAAGCAGAAAATACTGTTCTGGCTCCCAGTAGCCAAACACTTTAATGAAAAGATTTTTTTTTTAATGGTTGTATCTTTGTTACGGTCACAGATGTTCAGGAAAGCTACATCTGTCAAGGATAAGTGGGCACCTTGTCAAGGCTTCTGGTTTCCTGAGGTCCTCACCCACTTTCTGAGCCACAGGTCTGGCATCTGACTGCTAGGCCCCACCTGACTGTTGTTTGGCTGGAACCCTCTGTGGCTTGAGGCTTATGGAGCCTGCTGTCTTAAATCTGGTTGCCTGGAAAATAGTGTGAAACATTAGGCCACTTATCCATGATGGATGAGTCTAATCCCAGGAAGCAGGAATAAGAAAGAATGGAAGAGGCTAGGAAAAAAGGAGAATATGTGTTTGTGTCATATAGGGTGTGTCTTCCTAGTTTGGGCACAGTTTTAACACAAGGTGATTGCTTATTTTCTCAGGATGTCCTTCTATGTATGAAGCTTTTGCGTCTCTGAACAGTGTACTGGGAGCGGGGAAGGAGAAAAGTTTATTCACTGATCTCAGTATTTCATTGTCAAGGTCAACTTCCCTACATATGGACAAGTCAGCCCAGTAGTGGGTGGGTGGAGATATGGTCCACGGTGTGTGAATGTTAATTGTGACATGTCAACTTGACCTGAGGGAGAACCTCTTGGCAGGTTGGTAAATTCTGGGTGTGTCTGTGGATGATTGACATATGGGCCAGCAAACTGAGGAGAGAAGATTCACTCTGAATATGGGTGGCATCAACCAATAAATAGAATTATAGCTTGGACAGAATAAAAAGGGAAAGAAGAGTGAAGTGTTTACCTATTTTGAAAGAACTCTAGTCTTTGCCATTGCCGTTGGACATTGATCTCCAATTTCTTCAGCCTTCTGACACTGTTTCTTCAGCCTTCCAATGAAGACTTCCATCAGTGACTCTAGAGTGAACCTCCAGGTCTTTGACCTTTGATAGCTACTGGGTCCTTTGGTCTTCCAGTGTGCAGACAAACATTTTGGATTCTTCCACTTCTGATCCCATAGACAGCCATTGTGACTCTCCTGCTTCTGATCCTGTAAGCCTACCAAATAAGCCCCTTTGTATAACCATATGTATTTTACATTGATTCTTTTTCTCTAGAGAACCATAACTAATACAGTGTATGGAAGGAAGATGCGGTTCAGTCATAGGCCCAAGTGCCAGGAGGAACTGGGACCCCTGCCTGGCAGTTGTAGCAGATGGAATCCAGAATCCAGAATCAGCACAAGCTGTGACTACAGCCACTCCAGCCAGCACAGTCCAGCACACCTGCTTGGCACTGCTCAATGGTCAGTGTGTACATTCCCAGCCCCGTAGCCCCAGGACAAAGTTCTAGCAACCTGCCACAAAACCCTGCGCCCTGAGGCTTAGAGTTCCCCTTTCAGGTTCAGTAGCCAAAAAGCAAAGCACTAGCAAACAGCTCCAAATCAGTTGTAAATAGCCATGGCAAAAAGCCCACATGGCCATGCCAGGTAAGCACTACTGATGTGTGAAACCATCTGTCCTAGCTATAGCAGAAGCCTCCACTCTAGTTGTGCACTTTTGTCTCCTGAATTCTCCTCTATTCTATTTCTCAAGGTTTGAAGGCTGTGTGCTAGCTTTGAGGATGAAGTCATGTTCCTGAGGCTGCAGGCACCTCTCCAGAGAGGCAGGTCCTTTGAAACTCTGGGTAGAGGAGAAGATGAGCTCCTGTGGGCTGCTTTTGGCTGTGATAAAAAGACAGAGGGGCTGGGCTGTGCAGGTCCATGCTCTCCTTCTAAACCTTTCGAGGAGCTAAGTAGTTCTTCCTCTTCTGGGGAGTGAAGGAGGGAGTCAGGAAAGACAGGGCCCAAAAGTATGGTGTCAATGGGGCTCCCTTCACGTGGGAGAATTGACAGGAGTGGTGAGAAAGTGCTTCTCCCTCATACCCCTAGGCTCCAAAGCACTGTGTCAAGATCTCCTAAAAGCCCTCTCACTCGGCTGGGCTCTGGGGCCACTGCAGAAGGGGTCTGGAAGTTCCTGAGCTCAACAAACCCTCCCAAGAGGTGAGGGACTACCTTCCATTCTCTTAAGGGGTTATTTAGGAACACTGCTGTCCTCTGGCTTGATTGGGAGGGAAGACATAATGCCCAGATGGATCACGACCTCCTCCTCCATCATCACCTTTAATGGCTCCTAGACTTCATCTGAGAATGGGTGAATGAGGAACCCAAAGCCCTGAAGGGTGGGTGCAGCCACAATTAATCCTGTGGGATGTGTCTAGAAGCTCCTCTTCAGAACAAGGGCATACCTGTCAACAATTGAACTCATTTTGGGGGCTATAGGTGTTATTCTGGGGAAACAAGAAAAGTCCCTTTCAACACAATTATTCACTGAGCATTGAGCATCTGATTTGCCAGGTCTTGCGCTGTGGGTTGGAGGGATGATGTAAGGATGAGGAACACTAGAACAAGTGGTAACAGCTACTTGGGAGGCTGAAGCAGAAGGATCACAAGTTTGATGCCAGCCTGAGAAATTCAGCAAGTTCCTGCCTCAAGATAAAAAATTGAAGGGGCTGATTGTGTTTTCTTTTACGTTTAAGGTACCCACAGGACATGTAAGTTTTGAACAAGACAAAAAACATCACCTCAGACACATAGGTGGACCTGATAGAAATGATCTTATTGGTATTTTAAAAAACTGAGCTCTGAGTACATGTATCGAATTCCTATGGATTAAGAATGAGCAGATAAGGATATGGATGAATTTGTAGAGATGGTGTGTAGTCATCAAGTGGACTTACTGGAATTCAACCTGACAGTTAGTTATAAAAAATCAGCTGTATGCCAGGCACTGTGCTGAACTCTGCATCTCCATCAGATGCACTTGGGCTTTAGTTTCAGGGATCTCTCTCTCACCCTTGCTGAAGACAAAAGTGCCTACATCTCTGCAACAGATGAGCGATTTGGAGGAGAGGACCCAATCTGTGGGCCAAGGCCCCTGGATTTACTTTAGGTTAGGCTCTGTCACTAATTGCTTTTGTGATTTTCATCTGGTTACTTCTTATCTCTGGTTGTCCATTTCCAACTACAAAATCAGAATTGTCTTCATATAATTTAAATTCCTTCCTGACATTAACATTGGTAATTCCAAATCTCTGTGGAAAAGTGCTGTAGGAGCCGAAAGGAGAGATCACTGAATTTTGGTGGGGCTGCCATTTGTGTCAGGGATATGGGAATGAGCAGGATTCCTGCAGAAGGTGACAGGGAAAGAAACGCCTTCTAGGAAGAGATAAAGCATAAAGGCTGTACTAGGAGTGGAGAAGAGCGCCCCCTAGGTACAGGTCCTGAAGGGCAATGGCATCTGGAGAAATAGGGAGGCAGGTAAGTGGAGACCCTAGGAGACCCTAGTAAGATGTAGCAAGACCCTAGGAGATCCTAGTAAGTGGAGACCCTAAGTTGAGTGGCCTAGGAAGAATTTTATTTCAGAGGTGTGGAGCTTAGAAATGACCCCATGATACAAATCACCAGAGTCAGAAATCAAGAGAAGGTGTGATGAGCATCATTAGAGTGTAACATAGTGTCTCCTGGCTCAGAGGTGGGAGAGAACTACTTTGAAGAGGGAGTGTTCATTCACTGTTTTCATGTGAGATTGTAAGGCCAGGGGTGAGGGACACCAAGATGATGGCCTTCACCTTACTCCGTCCAGGGTGGCTGAGGAAATCCAAGATGCCTCAGAGAAGTTCTCTTGGCCCCAACAGATAGGGGTACTCTGACTGAAAGATGGCTCAGGAACAGCGTGATCCACATAAATGGCCCCTCTGGAGTCACACAGAGGGAGCCAGACCTAAAAGACTTTGGCTCTCTGGATGTTCCTTGGACCAGCAGCATCCATTACCTGAAAACTTATTAGAAATGCAGAATCTCAGGCTCCACCCAGACCTGTGGAGTCAGAATTTTTCATTCTCAAAAGATTTCCAGGTAATCTAGAAGAAACACATCAAAGTTTGAGATGGTCTCCAACTTGCTGAATAGCCTTCTCCTACCCCAACTCCTTCTCTTTATTTCTCATTTAGGGGAAAGAAGAACACTTCCTAAGCTTTCTAGGGAGCATGCTGGATCAGATGCCAGTTTGGATTAACCATAATTTCTTCCCCATTCATTCATATGTACGTTCAGTCAAACACTATTTAAACAGTTCCTATATTCCAAAATACATACCATCTGTATCCTGGGTGCTCCTGGCCTAGTTACTTCTGGCAACTTGGGAAAGATTTGGACCTTGGGTGGAAAACCTACTTACTTAGGTGAGTAGATGTCGGCAGATGGGCAGGAGAGAAGTAACCCTGGTGTGAGCTGCTGACCGGAGTCTGAGGCAAGTAGAAGAGTCTCAAACACCATTTTGCTGTAGGGAGGCCCAACATGAGTCCGTTGTTGGGGTGGGGTGGTGTGCTTCTTGTTTGGTGGAGGATCACAGTAGCCCCTAGGTGATGGCAATTGAGAAATGCACCCACTGAGAGCAGTACCTCCATGCCAGACCTGAGAAGCAGTTCTCATAGAGAGATGGTGGGTGCCACCAAGGTGCTGAGCCCACTGAAGAAGCCAGGAGACAGGAGAGGGCCTGCGTTGGGACTAATTTATCATTAAATAAAAAGTACCACTAGTGTAGGGCTGTAGAGTGAGAGTGCAGGAGGGCTGTGTGCTCTGGTCAGCTCGATGGCAGAATATTTGACATAAAGGATGCTACATGTGGCCTGGGAGAGTTTAAATCTTTCCACTTCAATGCTCCCTGTCCCCCGTTGGAGCACTGAGGTGCAGAGGTTGAGACAGCAGCTGGGAGGTCATGTAAACTCATCTGTGAGGAGCCGAGGTGGCCGATTGCTGGGCCCTGGAGGCCGGGGTGCAGGCCACCTTCACCTGGGAGTAGATGACAGAGGAGTCCTAGGAGGAAAGAGCACTTGAGTGAGGGCCAGAGCCAGTAGCCCACAGGGGAGGCCACACAAGTCACGAGACTCACCTTGTCCCTGAGGCTCCTGGGTGTGGAGGCTGCTGTGGAAAGAAGAGGTATGCTAAGCTGTGGCGGGCTACACAGGCTCTCTCTGTGCCCTGGGTTGCCAGGCCCACCCTCTCTGCCCTCTGTCTCCCTGCTGTCCAGCAGCTGCCCCTCTTTCGGCCTCACCATGCTCACCAGTCCTTTCCTCCACCTCACCTCACATGTTCCCACGCTTAGCTGCCAGAAGCTACCAAAAGAAGGAAATCTACCTTTTATTTTGTTAGTTCTTTGATCTCAGATTCACATTATGTATTGCAAAGAGGCAGTACAGCCCGGTGCATGCTTTAGAGAGCAGACTCCAGGACCAAGGCTCCTTCAACTGAGCCCTGGGTCTGCCTTGCCACTCCTGGGGCCTGGGGTAAGTCACTCAACTTCTGCTGCAGGTGCCTCATCATACTGTATGGTTATTGTAACTATATATGAATTTAGGTACATGCAGTATATGTTAGATATTTGTGTCTGTATAATTTCTGTTGTCTCTCATGTGCTGAGTAATTTTTTTGTGTGCTAGATACAGTTCTGAGTAGTATAAATAAATTCTCTCATTATCATAGGCATGTATCTCACAGTTCTCTCTCTATGCTAAAGTTACAGTGCTAAGGATATAGATGAATAATATTCTTATTTTCTCTTCAAGCTAGAGTGCAACATGACCTCCTCCAGACAGGGCCCTCTACTTTTGCTTAAGCATCAGGGTTCCCCAGAAGCTTCACTGAGAGTTTAGATTCTAGAGGTAGACATTTTGGTGTTTTATCAGTTATATGACTTTGGGCCAGTCCTTTCAGGTCACTATGCCTCAGTTTCCTCATATAAAACATGGATAGTAGTGTTTACATTCAACAGGGATATAAATTTGAGGGGGCTTATATGTGTTAGAGGAGTTTTACAGAAAAAAAGGGAGGCTAGGGGTGGTAGCTTAGTGGTGGAGTGATTGCCTAGCATGTGTGAGGCCTGGAGTTCAGTCTCCAGTATCACACACACACACACACACACACACAAATAATGTCAGATAATCAATTTGTGCTATTTAACCCCAACAAGTTTGTGGCAACCTCTCACAGCAGCAATAACAAATTAATACAGACAGGAAGGTCCCATGGACTGATGTATTAGTCCAAACTCATGTACTGAAGCCCTAAATTCCAGTGGGATGGTATTTGGAGATGGAACTTTGGGGATAATTGGGACATGCTGGGATTAATGTCCTTATACAATAAGACAGGAGAAAGATGATCTCTCTTCTATGCAAAGATAGAGCAAGACAGCATCTGTCTGCAAACCAACAAGAGAGCCCTCACCCAGAACCTGACCATGCCAGCACCTTGCTCTTGGACTTCCTGCCTCCAGAACTATAACAAATAAACACTTATTCTTCAAGCCATCCAGTCTAGAGTATTCTGTTACACCAGTCTGAATTAAGACAGTATGGAATGATACCCTTGCTCAGTTTTACAGACGAAGACACTGGAGCTGGTGACTGCCCAAGGTGATGATGTCATGCAGGTTACACTGGGGCCATCTATAGAGAACTGAGAAAGCATCACTGCCTGGTGGGGTGGGATTGACCTCAAACAGTGTAAACCTCTGCCCTCCTGTGGGGCTTAAGTCTGTGCCTGGTTAGTCTAGATCTGCTGAGGAGGTGAAGGCTGAGCAATACTGTCTGTCAGAGTTGAGGTTGGCCAGAATAGAGACTCCCTCAGATCTTACCTGTTTGTTTATTCTTCTCTTGGTTTCTTCGTACTTCTGAGTAAACCGTGTCTGCTCCTCTAGGATTTACTTAGAAAGAAGTGGAAGTTTCAGAGGGCACTAAGGCACTTGGCTCATTTCTGAGCTACTCCCTCCCCTCCCAGCTTGTACTCTGGAAGGACTAGCACCCTCCAGGCCTGTACGTAGTTCCACCTCACCTCCTGCCCCACCCCTCTCCCACACCAACCCTTTAGCCCCTGCCAAAACAGAGCACCCTCTGCCCTTACCATTGATGTATACTGGCTGCAGTTCTATCCAGGCTGGTACATTGTGGTAGATGGTTTCTTGGGGGTGAGAATCTGAAGGGCTCCTGTGAAATACAGAAATAGCGCTCTTTTCCAGAAAGTCTGAAAATGTAGCTATGATCCTCACTCTCAGCTGATGAGGTTTTAATACAGAATGGCTGCCAAGTCTGGAAACAGAGGCAAAAATATAAAACATTGCCTATGTATATTATGTTGTGAATCTTGAGAAATTTGTATCATCTGGCTTTTCAGACTTTATGGCTCCCTGGTATACAACAAGCACTGGGTTAATGCTTAGAACAATAGTGAGCTAGTTCTATTTTGTCCCCATTTTGTAGATCTAAAAACAGGAGTTTCCATATGATTAAGTTACTTATCAAGGCCATGTAACCAGAAAGAGGAAGTGCCAAGATTCAAATGAAACTCCAAAATCTCTATTTTTAGAGAGATCAAAGGCTTATAAATCAGTAATCAGAAAGGCTCAGAGGAACTCTAGATGGTTTGGATATTGCTACCATGCCCAAGATAGTTTATGAGCCGCGGTGTGGGTCCTAAAGTCAGCCTTTAGGATCCAAGATGGCAGCTCTTCTTCATAGGCACCACCTCTTGCTGGCAGAATGATCTCTGAGTGATCAAGCTCTGAGGTGCCACCTTCTTGGCTGTCACCACAATAGGTATTGAATAGGTTGGTCATATCCAGAACTTTCTAGGCTAATTAAACAAAATAGTTGCAAGACATGGATGGATTTATAGTTGATCACTCACGTTACCAAGTCAACAATAGTACAATGTACAAGGATGTGAGATAATAAGTGAAAACCAACTAACACTTGATGTGAGAAGAGGGCCTATGAAAAGGTAGTAGGTGAGATAATGCTAAGAACTGCCTTGAGTTACCCAAGGGAGGTGGCAACCTGAAGTGGGTACCACCTCAGCAACATGCCAAGAAACTGGGCACTTGGTGATAATCAGATTACTCCACTGTTTTCTGCCCTGTGGGGATTTCATTAACTACACAGGAATATACCCCAGGTCTTACCTGGAGACATCAGAGGCAGACTTTTCTCCTGAAAAAGAAAGCACAGGGGCACTGGATTCAAGCCAAGGAAAGCTTCACAGGGACACAACTCACAGGAGGCTCACAGAGAGATTCCTGGGAATTGCTGTTCTTGAAGTTTTAATCCTCCTAGCTATGCCCAAGGAAGATGGTAGAAGGGGAAAAAACTACTAAACCTTTGACTTCAGTCCCCAGAGGGGGTGCAGCTATAAGTTGAAATGGCAGTACACAATCCTTAATTTCTTAAAGTAGAGTTTTAGAGACAACAATCTTTAAAAACTAGAAGCAGTTTAATAGCTGCAGGCAGAAAATAGATTTGATCACTTATAAAAATACTATAATTTAAAAAATCAGTAAGTTACCAGATCCTATTTGGTTACTATGTTCAATTCTGTTTCTCAGTCTTTCTTTTCCTCTTCCCATTCCTTAGGGGGCGGGGTCTTGTGAAGGCACAGAGGGAGAAACACAGCAATTTATGAAGTTGGATAAACTCCATCTCATTAAGGCCTGTTCTACCCCATAGGCTGTTTCAACAGCTTGGCATTTGGTAAAGAGGACTTTGGGGGACCCAAAGGGACAGGTGAAGGACTATGGGATAGGGAGGAGGAGCTCTTGAGAGCAGGGAGTAGTCACTTAATCAGCACAAGTCTGACAGAATAGAGCTGGGAAGGGCATAGACTCAAGCACATGAGTCCCAGGGAGCTACCCACCTGCTTTTCTTGAGAGCCAGAAGTAAAACAGCAGTGCTCCAGCAGCAAGGGCTACCATGCTGAGTAGCGCCCCAGTGACTCCTGTAGCTACAGTACCACTTCTGTTCTTGGCCAGCCCTGCAGGGAAGACCCCATGCATGAGCCCCAGGGAGAAGCTGCCTCAGCCTCTGAAGTTCATGCTTGGGACAGAGGATGAGCTGAGGTGATGAACTCCTAAGGTTAAGCAGGTGCCAGTGTGACACAGGAAATGGCTCCTGTCTTTATGAGAAAGCTCGTCTTGTGCCTCAGGCAGGGGTTCAGGGTCAAGACGGATGGTGGCCAGTGAGAAAAGAGGCAGCCAGCTGATGAACTCTACATTCAGCAGTGCTCTCTTTCTCCATACATCTGCCACACACCATCACTTCAGATACAACGATCAGAGAGTTAACATCTTATAATGTTTGAGAAGTGCTATCCAAACAGCATGAGGATTATCAGAGTGCCACTGGAGGAAATATTAATTCTATTTCTGTGGCCTCAACATAAGAAACTTACCTGTGATAAAAAGTGTCACCACCTCACTGTGCTGGGCCCCCAGGCCATTGTCAGCCTCACAGGAGTAGTTTCCAGAATGTTCTGCAGTCAGGGAGAGGTTGAAGGACACTCCTCCTCCAGAGAAAGCTGAGTCGTTCCTCAGGGTGACATTCTCGTGATAAAACCGGTACAGGATTGGGAGAGAGCCTTTCAGGGCCTCGCAATGAAGCTCCATCTCATCCCCCACCACAGCTTGGGTCCTGGGGACCTTGAGAGTGAGGACAGGGCGGGACACTGGAACTGAACAGGAATAAAATTTCACTAGTAGCTTCTGCTTTTAACATATTTGTTTTGAGACAAAGTCTTGCTAAGTCAATCAGTTATCCAGATTGGGTTTGAATTTGCAGTTCTCCTGCCTCAGCCTCTCAGAGTCCTGGGATTACAGTATACCACTGTGCGTGGCTTGCTTCAAACACATTTGTAAGGAAGAGAAAGTATTATAAGCCAATGGAAAATGTCAGATTTCAATCTTGGAAAAAATTGAAACACATATGATAAACTAAGCTAATTACTTTGATCTGCAAATAGTTTTTATGTAGAGAAAGGTACAGCAGAAAAGTGTAAAAAGTATATGAGTCACCAGAGACTCCTAACAGCAAATAAACATATAAAATATTCTTACCTTCATTATTAATTAAACATATGCAAATAAAAACAAGTATAAATATTATTCCTTTTCCCTCTCATTGGATTGGTATTCCTTAAATAGATTGGCATACTGATAAGGCTGTGGATAAACAGGCCATTTCACATGCCTCAAGTAAGAATGCAAATTTAAAGATACTTCCTTGAATGGCAATGTGAGAATATCTACGGAATTTATAAAACATATAAACTTTGACCCAGCAAACCTTCTTCTAAGATCATGTCCTTTAGAGATACTAACATAAATAGGTCAAGACACTTGTACCAGGATTTCTAGTATAGCATTTTTATAATAGTTAACAACTTGTAATAATTCAGTAGACTGGGTAATGAAATGTCAAAATAGCCAAGATGCTGGGCCGGAGATTTAGCTCAGTGGTTCTGTCACCTGCCTTGCAAGCTCAAGGACCTGAGTTCAATCCCCGGTACAAAAAAAAAATAGCTAAGATGCATAAGATGTATTTTTAAATTAAAGTGTAACTTGCATAGTTATCTGTGTAATATGACCCTACGTTTGTAAAAAAAATATTCTATGCCTTGATATATTCAGAATATTTCTGAAGGATGCATATGAAATGGTTAACAGTGGTTTTGTCTGGGAAGAGGAGGTAGAAAGAAAACTTTGCTTTTCAATATTGGCCCTTTTGTACTATTAGAATTTTGATAATGAAGATTTATATACTCTCTCAGGATAACAGATTATTAAAAACTATAAAGATATGTTAAAGCATGGCCACAAAGGATAAAAAAGTGTCACAATGTAGATTAATGTAAAAAATTGGAGAAGGCCATGTTTCAACCTCATTTTCCCATTACTAGCTATGTCCTTGACTAGTTATTTAACCTCTCTAAGCTTCAATTTTCTCTCCTGCAAAGTGGGGATGAATCTGTCCCCCAGAAGTTTGTCTTAATGATTAAGTGAGGTATTGCATGTCAAACAGTAAGTACAAGGCCTGCGATGGTCAAGTCTCAGTGCTGATGATGTTGATAATGATGATAATGAGAAACAGTCCTTTTCTCTGTCTCTTTTGCTGTTTCCTAGTTCTTGTTTTCCCTGACTCATACCCTGATTCTAGGACTCAGACACAATTCATCCTGGCTAGGCAAGAAGCCCTAGCTGTGATTATAAGAGCAGCAGAATAACATGCAGGGAATTATATAAATAAGCGAATGGGGATAAGGAGAAAATTATGAAGTCATAACCACAGAGTGTAGGAAGTGTGAGGTGCTGGTGTCCCAGGTTGTAAGATGAAGATAGCAGCACTAACTCAGTGGAACGTGCCTGTGTGGTGGATAAAAGAGCTCAGTTGATAAACTGTTTGGCAATGGTTCTGCAAATCTCAGAGGAAAACTGGATGAGGCAGATGCTGCTGGGGAACAGGTGAGTGTGTGGACAGAAGACGGAGTTGGTTGGCTGGGAGAAATGATATCTAAGGTCAAGTCACTTTCTGGTTGCCAAAACTAGCTGGCTGCACCATCCACCTTGAGTAAAGGCTGGATTCTGGACTGGCATTCCCAAATCAACTTGGTTATTTCATTCTGTCTCCATTCCCTATCATACTCAGAGATCCAGCCAAGAGGGAGTGAGAGTTTCAGCCTATATTTTCCCTTACATGAATAAGAGTGTGTTTGCTGACCACTGTATAGTCTTTTGTTTTTGAAATATATTCCAGGGGCAGGGAGATGGCTTCTCCTTTTGTACATCTTTTTCTAGAAACCTGTGAGTCTCCCTATTCTCTGTCCTCAAAAAATCACAGAATTCCAGGGCAGGGGATAGATGGTCATGATTTCCATCTAGTCTGATTTTTCCAACTTTGTGACTCAGAAGATTGAAGTCAATATAGGTCATACAGCTAGTTATTTTCAAAGCCAAGTCTAGGGCATTCTTCTCAATAGCCCTAAGCATACTTGCTTCTCCCTAAACTGGGATTTGGAGGTCAGGAGGTCACCACTGAACAGATTCAGAGTTCACAACAAGCAGTTTTCCCTCTGTTATTACACTTAGTGGCCAGAGGTCAAAGATTAGTCTGCGGAGTGGAAGGATTTGATTGATGGGGTCATTTCTATGTCGTTTCATCCTGCTCTCCTGGTCTCTGCCCTGGTCACCTGTGTCCTTTCTTTTAGGGATCACAGAGTGTCTCTCGCAAAAGGCACAGATAGCTAATGGTAACATACTATTTCAATGTGGAAAGTAAGGAACATTTATATGCCAGGTAATAAAGGAAGCACAAGAGTAGAGACTTGTTGGGAATCAATGAGAGAAGTACCCTGGCAAAGAATGGGCTAATATTTTCAGGAGCAGAGAAAACTATTCTCAGAATTCTTTGGTTTCTCTTTTGTATCATAATTTCAGATTAGAATGTAGTCTATGTACTAGAACATCTTCTAAACATTTTTAATGAAGAGTTTTAGTTTAAGAAGACCGCTTAACTGTGCTGCTGGAGAAATCCAGACTCCTGAAACCATACCACAGAAAGGAACCCAGACTTCAAAAAGGCATTCTGGAGGCAAGATGTATGCCCAAATGCCACCGTAGAGGGCAACTTTAGCCTCATTTACTGCTGCTGGGAGCAGAAGGGACAGTCAGTTCTTGGTTGTGCTGCTGGTGAGCCAACTCACCTGTGACTTTGAGTGTCTTCACTTCACTGCTCTGGGCTTCAAGGCCATTGTCAGCCTCACAGGAGTAGTTTCCAGAATGTTCCGTGGTCAGACTGAGGTTGAAGGACGCTCCTCCTCCAGAGGGAGCTGAGCTGTTCCCCAGGGTGACATTCTCATGATAAAACCAGTACAGGATCGGGGGAGAGCCCCTCAGGGCCTCACAGTGAAGCTCCACCACATCCCCCACCACACCCTGGGCCCTGGGGACCCTGAGGGTGAAGACAGGGTGAGATACTGGAACTGAGAGAAGAAAAACAACCATCAGCTCCTCTTGTTTAAATATATCCTGCCATACTAAATATATTTCAGTCAGGAAAATATTTTCCTTAGATTTTAATAACCTTGTAATGTTACCAAGAACTCATCTATAATTTCTTTAGATATCAGGAAACAAGAGCATTTGATTGTACTATTTGTAATTTGGAGTACTTACATATAAACACTGAAATATGTGTAAGAATCTGAAAGCAAAGATTAAACTGAAGCACTGGCATCTGAGACTAAATCAGAGTAATGCTGTAGAAAAGGAAAAATCAGTTCCATAAAGACCTGCTGTTTACATAGCCAGGGATATAATTGAGCCTGGACTACATTAGAAATGGGGCCCAAAAGATAATAAGTATTGATCAATGTTTACCCATTCTTACATTGATTTATCAGAAATTAATGAGTATGACTAACCAATGAAGGCCCGAAAACTGCTGTATATGGTGCACATTCAGTGGTGAGAAAGACAGACTCTATCTCATAGAGCCTTTAGTCTAGAAGAAGTGGTAGGCAGCATTAAAAAAAAATAAATAAATATGGAATTAAAACATTGATGACTGATACAAAACAAAATAGCAGACATGGCGCTTTGAGTTGCTTAACATTGGAACTGGTTCTAGTATGGATTATTTAAGAGGAGTTTCCTCATGAAGTCACATTTGAAATTAACAATGAAGAAAGAAATAATGAGGAAAAGAAAGGAAGAATGAGGTTATGAGCCAGGCAGATAATATGTGCAGACCCTGAGTTGAAAAGAACATTGGCATATTTTGAGTTATTAGACCAAGATTGGAGTAGAACAAAGAGAAATGGCCAAAGAGTGCCATGAAATAGGAAGCTAAAACACTAGGGAAGGGCTTCATAAGGCATCCTGAGGATTTTGACCCTTGTTCATCAAGCAATGTGAAAACCATTTTGACCTCAGGGTTCAAAATTGAATGTAACGGGATAGAAGTGGCACAGAAGAGCTTAGTGGCATGCAGTAGTTGAAATGACGGATTTGACTAGGATAGTGGTAATAGAGAGAGAGAGAGAAGATTGTAGAAACATCTAGGAAGTAGAATAAATAGGGCTGGCTATAGGGGTGAGGGAGAGAAATGTTTAGGAAGACTTCTGCCTTGTGTATCTTGATGAAGGAAGATGTCTTTTGTAGAGGTAGAGAACTTGCAAGAAGCATTCTGAGAGGAATGTCAGGTGATTTTTAGAGATGATTGGATTGATGAGCTTTTGGTAAATGTGAGTAGAAATATGGCATCTGCACACACCCATGTGGGAGGTGCCCTTTAAAGATAAAAGTGTAGGAATCATTTATAGATGGTAAAACCATTTATAAATGATATACCCAGGATCATCCAGAGAAAGAATATGGCTAAGCGAAGAGGACACATGTCAAAGCTCTGGAATGTGCCGATGTTTAAAGATTATCTATTAATAAGAGCCTGTAAAGAAGACAGAAGGAGAGGCCAAACAGAGAGGAAAGCCAGGAGAAAGTGGAGTCACTGAAGTCACAGAAGGGAGGGTTTCAAGAAGAAAAAATGGTAAAGAATATGTAATATTTCTGAGAGATCAAGTAGGAGAAGTATTGGAAAATGGTCACTTACTTAGTCTACATACATGGAGGTCAGTGGTGATGTTTGTGAGAAGCATTTTGGTGGGGAAGTTGAAAGAACCTAGAGATTAGAACTAGAAGGTAATGAGGAAATGGAGGGAACCTGGGTAGCTGACTTTTTTCAGCAATGGAGCAGTGGGTTGAGTAGAATCAAATGGGGATCAACACAGGGTTTTTCTTAGGAATCGGAGAAATGTAGCATGTTAAGTGTCAGGGAGAAGGATCCTACAGAGATGCTGAGAGCCATGGAAGAGAAAGGAATAATTGGTTGTATGAACTTTCTTAGAAGGAATGAGAGGATAGAATCTAGAGAATAGATGGAAATGGTTACTGACATAGGCAGCAGAATCTTCTCCATACATAAGAAGGAAAAGAGAAGAAGAAATTATTTACTGTGGGATACAGAGACAACACTCAGTTTGGTAATAGAAGTCGGGGGTGGTATTTTTTGATGAATTGAGGTACTGAATAGAGATGTTAATGAACTGGAGGTTCTTTTGAGATCTGAGAACAACAGTGGTAGGAGGGAGCAAATGGATGGATGGGAGGTTGTGGTCAGGTGATAAGTGCTTAGAATTGTCATTTTGGAGATGGAGTGGTGTGTATGTAGATGTGGGTGGCTGATTGGGAGGAGGACAGGCCATGGTACAGATATTAGAGTCATGAAATGATGGCCAAGTATGGACTAGGAAGGAAGACTGTGAGTAAAGTGCCAAAGCCTTCCTTGAAAATAGGCATGAGTAGGCAGCCATCTCAAGACAAGTGAGACCTCGTGATACTGCCGAATGGAACAGGGACATGTAAGAAAGCAGGAGAATGATGATGTAAACTCTTCGAACAAAGGCTTCTGGGTGAGAACACAGCCTGTTCTGCCACAGGGACAAAAGCTAGGAGATATTTGTGAACCAGTAAGAGAACATATTTACTGATTGGCAAACAGAAAAGTATAATTAAATCTCTTCTGACATAGGACACACTGAACTTCATAATTTCCATTTCTACTGATCAGTATCGACCAGAATGTATTTTTGAAATGTGTTTGAAAACACTTTGCTCCTATGTTAGGGATGTTTTCATCACAGTGGCAGAAGAGTTTTGCTACTAAGGACAAATGCAAGAATTTTTGCTACTAAGGTGAAGGGAAGGTGTACATTGCTGAAAATATAAAACTCAAAACTCCCTGGGTATACTGTGTAACAAAAAGCCTGCCATGATATCACATAGCAGATAGTTTTGTGAAAACAGAGTTTCAATCTTGCCTACAGAGGATGGTGGGGAGATGATCTGTCCCTTGTGCTGCTAGTTGGAAGGGTCTACTTACCTTTGACACTGAGTATCTTCAGATTACTGCGCTGGGCCTTTTGAACATTGCTGGCCTCACAGAGGTAGTTCCCAGAATGTTCTTCAGTGAGATTGAGTTGGAAGGATGCTCCGCCTCCAGAGAGGGCTTGGCTGCTTCCCAAGATTATGTCCTCATGATAAAACTGGTACAGGATTGGGGGAGAGCCTCTCGGGGCCTCACAGTGAAGCTCCATCACATCCCCCACCACAGCTGGGAATCTGGGCACCCTGAGAGTGAGGATTGGGAGGGACACTGGAACTAGGGGAGGAAATGAGTTAGTTGTCACTGGAGTTTTTTTTTTTTTTTAACTAAACACATCCTCATTTTTAAAACTGCAAAATTATGTAAAGTAAAAATGAAAATTCTATCATTTTTTTCATTTTCCAGAGAGTATTACCTCTCTGAATATTGATTGATACTTTCTATATCTTTTCTACATATGAGTAGACTCACTGATATCGACACATAAATAAACACAAAAAATGGACTGGATCACATATACACACTGGTCTACCACATACTTTTTTCCTTAACAACATATCATGGCCATCTTTCTATCCTATTTCTTTAAGATCTGTTTAATTCACTTTAAAAATCTACTTCATCGAAGTATAATTTAGAAAGGTGCAACTATTTAAAATTTACAACTTGATAATTTTGCATCAATGTTACCTAATTTTTTTTACCAACCACCAATATTCCATTGTATGGATTTATCATAATACATTTAAGCAGTTCCTGATTGATATTTATGTTGCTGTTGTTTTTAAAATTTTGAATAATACTGCATTAAATAATCCTGTGATATACCATTGTACATTTGTGCATGAATTTCTTGCATGGTTCGCACGTGTGCATGTACATGTGTGTGTTACTGGAACTGACCCAGGGCCTTCACACTGAGCTATATCCCCACCCATTTATATTTTTTATTTTGCAACAGATGTGCACCACCATGCCTACCTTTGTGCATGCATTTCTTAGGATAAAGTCTTAGACTTTCTGGGATGAGTTATGTGAGTATTTTACACAATGATATATAATGACAGATTATTCTTCAAAAAAGTTGGTCCAATTAACACTTGCAGTAATGATAAATGTGAGTTTCTATTTCTCTACTCCCTGGTCAGTTGCATTTATTTTTTTGTTTGTTTGTTTGTTTTCATTCTCTAGCTTGATACCTACAGTTCCACTCGAGTAATTCAACCATTCTATCCTATTTGGTTCTACAGGCTACTAGTTGGTCTTCCAAGTAATTTTTTTTTTCAGTACTGGGATCAAACTCAGGGCAGGTGTGGTGCCACTGAGCTAAATTCCTAGCCCTTCCATGTAATTTTAGTGACTCATTAATGATGAGTTGTGTCTGAATTATTTACAAAATGGGAATTTTGCAGGCCTAAAAGACATGTGGTAACTCAGTGATAGAGTCATTTCCTAGCATACATGAAGCATTGGGGTTGATCTTCAGCACTGAAAAAAAATAAAATGGAAAATTTTAAATATGTTAGAAATTTTCACAGAATGTACTCCCATTTTTAATCTGCACATAGTAATTGCACACTCCTATGGAGTGTAATGCAACATTTCTGTAACGTATACAATGTGTAAAGATCAGATGTAGGCAACTGACATATCTATCACCTCAGACATTTATCATCTGTGTTTTTAAATTATCAAGTTAATTCTTTTATATTGCTCATTATTAAATAATAATAATGAGAGAATAATTGTTCTTTGACTTCCTCTCTTCCTTCTGATGAGCTGATTTTTCATATATTTTGGCATTTTCCATGTTTGTCAAGTGCAAGAGGATATTTCAGTATGTATACGATGTGTAATGATCAGATCAGGGTAACTGATATAAATCTTTCTACTTTCTATTCTGTACCCATAGCTTTTACAATTGATTAGCCTTTATTTCTAAACAGGTGGTTTTCAACCTTGTCAGTACCATACATTTTCACCCAAAGATAAGTTAGGAAACATTGTTTCTGAGATCCCCATCTGAGAAATTGTGAATTTAATTGATCTGGAACAGAGCTTAGTAATAGGCATTTTTATGAAGTCCCCAGGTGATTGTAACCTGAAGTCATGGTTGAGGACCACCAATCTATGCAGGTTCAGTATTCATTTTTCTATCAGTTTCCTCATGTGAGTCCTTTATACTGATTCACATCTGGTGGGCTGCATTTTGTCATGAAGTAATTTTTTTCAAGAAGGGTTAATGGGTATTATGTTTCCGGAGTCCTCAAAACTTTGATAATGACTTTTTGATTTGATACACAATTTCCAGTTCTCATTCCTCTCCACAAAATCCATATCTGGATATCATACCTCTCTTCTTGGCATGGACTGCTATGCAAATTCAAACATATACTTGATATTTTTCTTTCTCAAATGACTGCTTATTTTTTATATGTTCTCTCACACACACACTTTTTAACTTTGAAGTTCAATAACCTCATTATTTTATATCTTCTAATGTACATAGTCAGTTTCTTTCATTGTAGAAAAAAATTGAATTATACTTTGTCTTTTATTTTGATCCTCAATTTGGGTTAATCATTGTTCAATTTCCATATTATAAATTTTTTGCCTTTATTTCTGTGATTTTCTGCCTTACTTTCTGTATTGTTAAAGTGATTCTTCACTCAGTTAACAATTTTCAGAGGAATTTATTCTATTCTTATTGCTTCAAATTCAGTTATCATTTCTAAAATAGCTTTGTTATTTTCTCCTGAGCTCTGTTGTATCATTTTTTCAATCTCTTCTTATTATCTTATCATTTCTTCTTTGAACTTTAATTCCTTTTTATGTTTTCTAAAATCTATATATTCTCTAATTATATTGGGGGATATCCAACAGAATTTGGATACTTTTTACTGTTGCTATAGGAATTCTTCTTCATAAAAACATTATGTGGACTTCCTTTACTTTTATAATTATTTTTTAACTTTTAACTGGCAATAGCAATGGGCCTAAATATGGAATGGAGTGTGATATTTCAGTACATGTATATAATGTATAATGATCAGATCAGGATAATTTGTTTATCTGTTATCTCAAATATTTATCACTTGTTTGTGTTGAGAACATACAACATCCTTTGTACTAGTTTGAAATATTAATTGTTAACCATAGTTTTCACACTAATGTGCGCTAGAACATTAGAACTAGAACACTGGAAGTTATTCTTCCTATCCAACTGGACCCATGTACCAATTATCCCTCTCCATCCTCCCACCCCACCTAATGTCCTTTATTTGTCTAGTTTTGCGTTTGTTACCTATTCTCTTGATGTCTCAGCCAAAAAACTGGAATTATATTGAACTAAACACTTCTGTAGGGCAAAGGAAACAATCAACAAAGTGAAGATACAACCTGAAGAATGGGAGAAAATATTTGTAAACTGTTCACCTAAGAAAGGTTTAATCTATAGAATTCACAAATAACTCAACAGCAAAACAATAAAATAATCAAATTAAAAATAGGCAAATGACTTGAATAGACATTTTTCAAAAGAAGATATATAAATGACTAATAAGTACATGAAAAAATGCTCAACAACAGTAATAGTCAGGGAAATGCAAATCAAAACCATGAAGTATCATCTCATTGCAGTTAGATTGGCTGTTGCCAAAGAGAAAAAATAACAAATGCTAGTGAGGATTCTGGAAAACAAGGAAATTCTCATATATTTTTGGTGGAAATGTGAACTAGTGCAGGCTTTATAGAAAACATTATGGAGGTTCCTCCAAAAACTAAAAATAGAACTACATGATCCACCAATTTCACGCTAGTTATATATCCGAAAGACAGAAAATCAATATGTCAAAGAGACTTCCCTTTATAATTTTAAATGCATTTATGCAAAGATACCCACATTGGAACATTTTTTTTTTTCAGCACTAAGGATTGAACCCAGGGCCTTCACACTGAGATACATCTTCTTGTCTTTTTTTTTTTCTGAGACGGGTTCTTGCTAAGTCCCTAAATTGCCCAGGTTAAGCTTGAACTTATGTTACTCCTGCCTCAGCCTCCCAAAGTCCTGAGATTATAGGCAGGTGTGGCTTGTGACTCATTTCTTGGTGAATAAAGTCATATTCAAGTTTGCTTGAGAATACTGCTTATGTGCATGTGTTTCAGTGACCTCATGGCTGTGGATAACCTCAAAAGGTTATTTATCGGGACACATTTCCATGAAATCTCTTTATGTCCTCTGTTTGGATCACATTCATTCCAACAAAGGAGATTATTTTGCCAGAAAATCTCCATGGCTCACAATGAAGTTTCTCAGCTTCAAGAAAATCTGTTTGTTAATTTAGGCTTTAATTTACCCACTCATTCCCCTTTTAGGTATCTTTCTGAAAGAGTTAAAGACATTATATTACAGTGATACATGCATACCTATGTTTATAGCAACACAATTCACAATAGCTAAATCCTGGAAGTGGTCTGTATATCCATCAAGAAATGAATGGATAAAGAGAATGTGGTATTTACACACCATGGAGCAGTACTCTGTCATAAAGAAGGATAAACTTGAGTCATTTGTAGGAAAATGGATATACCTTGAAACCATAAAGTTAAGTGAAATAAATCAGACACACAAACTTAAATATCATATAGTTTCTCTTATGTGAGAAACACAATATAAAGAAAGAGCAAAATAAAAGACAGATGATAGGAAGTAAGGAGATAGGTCTTTTCAGTTGGCAAGGGGATTGAGAGATGGAGGGAAATGAGAGGAAGGGGAGGAAGTGGATGAAAAAAATAATTGAGATGTGCTGTGTTCATGTGCCAACCCCCCAAGAGAAATGTAATCATCATGAATTGCAAACATGAGCTAATAAAAAAGAAACATTGAAAAACAAAAGATCTGATTGATTTCTGCTCACTTGATACCTAAGAAGCTGGAAAGATCAGTCTTTTCTCCTTCCTCTGCTCTTCATCTCACCTCAAAGCCCCCCTAGATTACAAATGCGGACTCCAGACCTGGTCCATGGCCCACTGGGAGTAGACACTGGGGTAGAGGACTTGCCTGCCTTTGAGAAATACACTACATTCAGAGGGGTCTCATTTCTTTATCCAGGAATCTGGCTGATTTGACTTTTGTTTTCCTTACTCCTGAGATAGCTGTAAGATAAATCCCCACCAACCAGGATACTGGGGCCTTTATTTTCTTGTGATGTAAAACAATCTGACACACTAGACTTGAAGACTTTTCTATCTTCCCATTCTGCTTATCAGAAAAGAAAACTGGACTTTCACACTCTAGAAAACAAAAGCAATTTTGCTCTTCAAGTAACACCTTTTTAATGGTTACATGGATAACTAGGATTACACACTTACGATGGGAACACTTTTCTGAATGTAAGTCATCCTGCAACAAACATTTAAAAGTAGCATGCAATAAAACTATACTTGTTTTAATAGTTTAGAAGGCAAGAAATCATGAAAAACACGAAAACCTGAGGAGCAGGTTTCTGGGGAGCATTTCCCTCCTTTCCTCCCACATTCAGGCCTCCCCAGATCTCCCACGAGAACTGTAACTGCTGAGGACTCTGTGGAGAAATCACAGTCCTGCGTGGAATTTGTTCATTTGACTATGCAGCTAAGATGACGTGCAAGTGTTAGTGTTGAAATAAAAGGTGCTTCCGAGTATCAGGAAAAATAGGCTTAGAGACTGAATGAAAAAATAAAATGCTTTGAGAAAATAACTGTGTTTAGCAAAAGCAGGAGAGTCTGCTACACAATTAGGAGTTGGGCCGGGGCTGGATGGACCCTGTGGCCCACAGAAAGCGAGGTCTCTAGGATGGGAGCCAAGAAAATGTGGCGTTGATGGGGGCAGAAAGTGGAAGGTAGGAGCAGAGACTTCTGATGGGGTTGGTAAGAGAAGGGTATGGCTCGTCAAGGGAACCCACGTCTTACCAATGACAGAGAGGCGCACGGTCTCACTGCGCCGAGGGCCAAAGCCGTCGTCTGCTGTGCAGTAGTAGTTCCCAGAGTGCTCTGCAGTCAGAGAGAAGCTGAAGGAGGCTCCAACTCCAGCAGGGGCTGCGCTGTTCTCCAGGAAGATGTCCTCGTGATAAAAACGGTAGAGGACGCTGAGAGAACCCTTGTGGGCTTCACAGTGAAGTGTTACCACATCTCCCTCTACAGTCTGGGCTTCAGCGGTGTGGAGGGTGAGGACTGGCTGGGACACTGGGACTGAGGGAGAGAAAATGAGCCAAAAGTCACTCTTGCCCCTTATCACAGATTTCAATCTGTTGCCAGTGCAAATGCCTAGACCCCAGTCTCCAAGGGCTTCAGGGCAGCCTGGCAACCTGCTAGGCTTCACTCCCCATCTCTCCTGCCCTCCCTGCTGATCTTTCCCTGCCTTCTCCTTTCCCCTTAGGTCTCTGCCCCTTTGCCTCCTGGCTTCCCTGTGAGGTGACTGCCTCCCTTCTGCAGAGATAACACTCTCAGGGAAGAAGTCCCTTATTTTGCTGCCACCAGACCCACACCCTTCCTGCACCAGCTTCTTTATCATTCCCTCTGCCCTGTGACCATGGAAGAGCATTTCCTGGTGTCACCCTAATTGACACCCAGAAGAGGTGGTGTCTGCATTTAAACAGACAGTTGTTGGGCAGATATGAAGGTATATTTTGTGCCAGGTTGCACAAAATGCAGTGATCTCTGTGTAACATTGTGGTCCTGGCGGAATCTTTGGTGAATAGTTCTTGTCATCAGGCACACATGCATGAGAATCCTTCCTTCATAATCTCCTGGCTTTAATTATTTATTTTGGTTAGGGCTTGACAAAATAACTCCATTTTCACCGTGAAAACTTTCGCTCCTGCCTGCCTAGAGCAGGTTCTCCTCTGTCTTATGACCCTGTGCCCACCTGCCTCTGTCCTGGATATAAAATATTTGCCTGTATCATTTTACTCTAAATATCTGGTTGTATAATCCTCACCACATTAGAAAACAACAAAACAATGCAATAGCAACCTCGCTTGTGCTTAATCTTTCCCATAGTGTCTTTCTCCTCTTTTTCTATGGACAGATTTCTGGAATAAGTGCCCTACCTTTATGAGCTCCTCTTCTGTACCTCACACTCATTTTATGTCTACTGTAACCTGGTCATTACCTCAGTCAATCTACTGAAATCGATATTTCTTGTTTATGAGTATAATCATGATAAGGACAATAACAATAACAAAAGATGCCATACCGATAAAACAGTACTTTTAACTATCTGTCTGGTGTGTGTGCATCCTGGTCATATATAATTAATTTATAGCTGTATACATGTATCTGAAACTATTCTTTAAAACACTTCCATGAGGTAGGTACAAGTGTTTCTGTTTTACACATGAGGAAGCTGAGGTTCAAAGAGGTTAAGTCATATAACCAGTAAGAGATGAGACACCAGTCAAACCCTGGTATTCTAGTTATTCTGTGTTCTTCTGCTTGTGGCTAAATTCAGTGCATGTGGCTGGATTCTTAGCTTTCGTCATCTGTAAGATCAGCCTCATCTGAACTGGTAAGAGATAACTGGTAAAAGATAGTGATCTTTTGCATAAGGCACTAGCTTCCTCTGGTTTCTGAGGTGCACACTCTCCTAGTATCCCTTTTCTCAGCCAGGTTCCTTCTTGGTGTTCTCTCTCCCAACAGGGCCAGTCTTGAGGGTTCTACTTGACTGAACTCTCTCCTGAGTTCTCACTTAGAATTCTGGCTGCTCCCCAAACTGGCTGTTCTACAATCAACTCTTCATCCTATAGCTGGAGGCCTTTTCCTCTGCATTAACACTCCTCATAGATCCTATTTAACTAAATAAAGGCTAAGCCTTGATTAACGGTGTGCATTTTGCCTGCTCCTTCTTCCTCATCCTGTCTCTCACTACCTTTTATTCTATGTTGCAGTCAACATGAACAATCCTCCTAGCTCCTCTAATGTTTCCTCCATTCTTCATCACAGTCTTTCAGCACATGCTTTTATCTGGAGCACAACCTCTTTCTTCTTTTCTCAATTCCCCCCTCCCCTCTTTTCTTGAAGTGCTTTTGTTCACCCTTCGGTTGCAACTCACACATGAACTCTCCTCCCAGGAAATCTCCCACCTCCCAAGCATGCCTTCCCATTTGCTTCTGCAGCTTCCAGGTACCCCTAGCTGGGGTTTGTCCTATGACTCATGTGTACCTGGCACTAGACCTCAAGGACTCAGTGGACATGACTATGCGGTCAGTCTGATGCATCTGAAGTGTTAGTACAGTCCGGTATTCAGAACACATATAAGCATTGCTGTCAGTGGAACACATGAGCCACTGTACAGAACTTCATATGTTTCTGAGAGCACCCAATGGTAATGTCACTCTTCCAGCTTCCTTGCCTCCAGATGTCAGAGCACAGCTCCTTAGTCCCTCCCATTGAGGAATTCACACCCCCCACCCCAAGTTCGGTGGTCTTTCCTTTATAACCTGTGCATCTATTGTGAGAGGGCTGGATTGTGGGGGAAAAATAACATTCAAGGTTCAACTGAAAGCTTTTTAACTTAGCTATCTGAAAACTAATAGCTTTTAATGGATGAAGACAAATGAGTGAAGGTAAAACTTTCCTACCCTGCTTCCAGCTCCTCTCCTAACAAATGGACTTTGGCAAAGCAATGGAGATCCTGTAAATTTCTTTGAATCCTATGTGGCTTGATCCACAGTTACTGTCAAATGCCTCGTGATAAAGGAACAAGAGACAACTCTAAGTCTCTGGGAACTGATGACTGGACCCAGGCCTTTGCACTGAGTTACACCCCAAGTCCAGTTTTGCATTTTAATTTTGAAACAGGGTCTTACTAAATTCTTAAATTTCCCAGGCTGAGATTGAACTTGCCATCTTCCTGCCTCAGTTTCCCAGAGGGTTGGGATGACAGGTGTGGACCACCAAGCCCATTTTGGTACTGATTATATCTACCAAGAACAACTCAGTGAATGCAGACCTGGCATGTGAGGAGCCACAGGTTAAGTAGAGAGGAGGAGAAAAGCACTGGGTCTTTTAGAAGTTGGGTGTGAGGAGCGAGAGAGCTGCTGTGCAGACAGCCAGGGGTGGAAAGGTGCCCAGGCTACTCAAGGAGCAAGAGAGACGGCTGCTTGGATGAGCCACGGAGTAGAGAGGACAGTGAGCAGCCCTAAGGAAGAAGCAGAGGAAACTGGAAGGAGAGGTCACATTTCTGATGGTGTCAGGGAGAGCAGGATGCAGGCAGGGATGGGTGGTGAGGAAAGCAGGGCTTACCTATGACAGAGACCCTCAGGGCCTCACTGCTCTTGGGGCCCAGGCCGTTGTTAGCTGTACAGTAGTAGTTTCCGGACTGTGCTGCCCGTATAATGAAGTTGGCCCACCTTAAATTGGCTTTCATCTCCTGAAGGATTGCATCTTCATGAAAAAGCTGGTACAAGATTTGGGGAGAACCTCTGCTGACCTGGCAATGGAATTTCACCTGGTCTCCCTCCAGAATCTGGGCCTTCCCAGGGCTGAGGGTGAGCAATGGCTGGGACACTGGGTCTGAGGGAGAGAAAATGAGTCAACAGTCACTTCTGGCTCTTAGCAGAGATTTCAGTGTGTGGCCAGTGCCTACGCCCAGACCCCGGTCTCCAGTGGCTTCAGGGCAGTCCAGCAACCTCCAGGCTTCTCTTGCCATCTCTCCAGCCCTCCCTGCTGATCTTTCCCTTCCTGTTCCTTTCCCATCAGACTTTGAGCCCCTTCCCTCCTGGATTACTTCTTCGATGACTCCCTTTTCTTTTGCAGAGAGATGACAGCCACAGGAAGAAGTCCCTTATGTTGCTTCCACCAGACCCACACCCTTCCTGCACCAGCCTCTGACCCATTACCATGGAAACACTGTCCCTTGCCTACACATCATTATGAGTATGTCACTCCCTAAGCTTAGATCTACCTCAGGGTTCTGCTGCTGACCCCTTTCCCTTCCAAATGCTTGTGTTCTTCCAATGCCCTCTGCTCTGTCTTCTCCCTGCACTCACACTCACCTTCTCTATTTACATGAAGCCTAAGGGAGGGAAACAGTAGGGCAGTGTCTGTAGATGGAGTCTCCGGCCGGTGAAGGAAGTACACACCCTGACCCTGATTGTGACTTCTGGTGATCAGAGCTCACTGCTAATGGAAAGTGGCTTCTCCTACTGGCTGGGTCCCCAGGCCATGGTCTGGGCACAGACATCATTCCTAGAATGCTCTTTGAGCAAAGAAATGTTGAGGGAGGTTCTTCTCTAGGGGTCTGTGTTCCTCAGGGTTCAGCCTTATGAGAAAACTGATACAGGACTGAGGGAAGAGGTTCCTAGGCTTCATAGAGAAGCTCTACCACATCCTCCATGGCAAACTGTGCTGTGGGAGCCCTGGGGTTGAGGAAATGATGTGTTGTTTGGACTCACAAAGACAGAGAGGTAGTCAGTGAGGGCCCTGCAACTCCTTAAATTAAAGTGGCTCAAAAGACATGGTCCTAAATCAGTCCTGGTTCTAATATCCTCTTTGTTCTGACTTTATTCCCAGAACCATTTCACTTGAACTGAGAAGGAGTTTGTGAATATGAAGGGCTCGACATATTCCTAATCACTGAGCAGTTTTTAAAATTCCCATTTCAGCTGGGTGTGGTGGCAGATGTCTGTAATCCCAGCACTCCAGAGGCTGAGGCAGGACAATCACCACAAGTTCAAAGGCACCCTAAGCTACATAGTGAGTGCAAGGCATTGCATACCAAGACCTTGTCTCAACAAACAAACAAAACAAAACAAACAGAAAATCCCCCAAACAAAAACAAAACTCCATTTCTAAGAGTTTCCACAGCCCCTTCTACCCCTAGTTTCTCCTCGTAGTCTTTGAGTAAGTCCTGGCAGGCTGTTCAAAGCAGTGAATTATTAATGACAGTCATTATCCACTCCCACCCATTGCCTATGGTCTGCAACAGGGATACCTGCATCTATTCCTCAAATGACACCTGGCAAAACATACCTTTCACTTTGATGGTCACTGGCTTGCTGGTAAAGTGTCCAGCTATACAATAATACTCCCCTGCATGGCTGTTATCCACTACTGAGATCTTGAGTTTTGCTTCTGAGGATATCTTTTCTTTCTTCTTCCACTTCCCTTTTTTATACCAGGAGAAATTGATGTACTTTAGGTCCCCGTCTAATAAGCAGATGAGCAGCAGCTCCTGCCCTTCAAAGACGGACACTGAGGCTGGGTCAGTGGGTATTTGGACTTTGGTAGCAGCTCCTAAATAAATAAAAATGACATGTGTGGGAATCTTGGCAGTGGGTTGCTGAAAGATAAAGAATCACAGGATGAAGGGAAAAATGTGCCTAGCTCATGGGGGAAGTTGGAGTTAGGCTTGCCCTTGGGAAGAGGGAGTCTGTGATTTCTGTCTGGCTGGGGAGGTCCTCTACTCCCTAAGGGTCTTGAGGAGAGTCAACAGTAGGAATAGAGCAACCTGCTATTCCAATCTGTGATGGTGCGGTTTTGGGTAATGATGCGGGCATAGGACAGTGCCTGTTGAGCTATCCTCAGGTCCTGGAAGAACAAATGAAGATAATTGAACAGGAGAGGAGAAGGGTTTGTGGTTGAGGATCCATGAGTTATATTTTGGGTGGAGGCTATGCTAGAAATTATTGTGTTGTAACTGTAAGATAACACCTTCTCCATCTTCCCTGAATCATTCTTCCTTAAACCCAAGACCTCAGGAATGTCTGTTTCCTGTAACTGCAGAACAAATTAATAGAAACTAGCCAGTTTAGAAAAACAGAGTTGTAAAACTATTTTTTTTTCTTAAAGATAGGAGTAAGTTTATTGGAAATGCTCACTTTCACTCCTTCCCTACTCAGGAAAATGAGCATTCTGATCTCTGTCCCTTCCTAATTCTCAAATAGATTTCTCACGAGAGAGACCCAATTTAATGAGAGAAAACATTTGGCCATTGGCTAATAGTCATACCTGAGAACTTATACAAGTTCAGAAATTTAGGAAAAAGTGACAGTAGGTGCGGTACCATCCCCAGCGACCTCAAGTTGGAACTGTTTATTCCCCAAGGTTTTGTCCTTTGGTTTTCTTGTCCTGACATACTCTGCTCCAGGCACCTGGAGGTGGAGAAATCTGTTCACCTGGCTGAGCAGGGTGCATTCAGGCCAGGCAGAGAGCTCTACCAGGGCAGAGTTTGTGCCTGTTGGCCTAGCAGGAACCAAAGTGTGTCAGAGGAGAGAGCTCTCTGAGAGAAAAGAAAGGATTTTATCTAAGAGCAATGAAAAAAAACCCCTATTTTTTCTTTGCCTGCTCATTCTAAGCTCTTGTAAGAGATCCATAAGAATGAGGGTGCTTTCTCTTGAGTAGCTTCTATTCTTACAGAATGAGAACCACTTTCCACATGGGCCAGTGGCCCAAGCCAACACGTGATTCTGTGTAACTGTTTCAGCCCTATTTCTAGAAAATCTCAAAACCCCCGATACTCACTCTGCACATGAATTTGGGATATCTGGCTGTCTTTCCAAACACCAGAAATCCCTGCCCCTGCCTTGCACTGGTAGAAACCTGAATATTCATTCCACATGGCAGAAATCTGGAGTCCCGGGGAGTTGCTGCAGCCTGACTCCAGGGCCTGGTTATTTCTGAAGAAGCAGAACTGGAGGCCAATATTTGACTTCTGTGGAGGGAGCTGGGTCTTACAGGACAGGGTCATTCGGCTCCCATCTCTGGTCTGAGAGAGGCTGGCTGTCAGCTCAGGACGTGGAAACAGCTCTAGAGAGAAGGATCACAACAGTGCCTGGAGCAATGAGGCCTGGAAATGTTCTGGAGAAAAGCACTATTTCTCAATGCCAGCAAGTGGAGCTGTGTGGCCACCATTTTCCACCCAAAGCAAACAAAAAAGGGAGTAGTGGCGGTGCCACCTTTGATTCTTAAGCTTCAGCCTAATACACTGCTGCACTCTCTCTGCCCACCTTGGCCTTCCTAGTCTACCTCTCCCACCTTAGGGACCCTCCTTTTCTCTAACCCATTCACAAAATAATGAATGCTTTACCTTGGACTTGGATTCTGACTCTATTGGAAGAAACACGGTAGCCATGACTTTTCCTAACTCCAGCACATTGATATTCACCATTGTCCCTCAGACTTGCACGATGAATGTTGAACTCAGTGTTTTCATCAAATGATGCCAGTAATTTATCATTCTTATAAATTTTCACTCTGTCTAATTGGGTTTTTGCCTTTGCCTGGCACCTTAGAACCACAGAGTCTCCTTCAAACACAGACAGTGGAGTTTGCAGGATCACTGAAGCTGTAGGAAACACACGATTAGTTATTTGTTCATCTCATTGTTTCCTCTTTCTTTTCATTGTTTTAAGTAGATTGTGCAAGAAAGGAGATTGGGAGAAAAATCAAAACAATCATCATTTCTTTTTTTTTCTAGTTTTGAGATGAACACATGTACCTTAAAAAAGTTAGAGAGTAGAAATATAATCAAAAACACCTATCTTCTCACACTCCATCGCTTTCACCTGTATTTTTCCAGTTTTCTCTTCCAGGTGCAGGTATGTGATTGTCTCTGTGTATTTTTTTTTCTTTTCATGGAATTGGGATCATATTTATATATCGGAAGCCTTGCTTTTCACTTTTTATACTATGAATACTTTCCTATGTCACTAATATCATTATTGAACTTGATTTTCAATGGCCTAAAATTTTCCCTTCAATGGAAGCAACATAATCTATTTGATGAGTCTTATCTTTTTTCCTTTGAAACAAGGTCTCACCATGTTGCTTAGGCTGGCCTCACACTTGAGATCCTCCTGCTTCAACCTCCCATGTAGCTGGGATTACCATGCACAACCACATTCAACTTGAGTCTTCTTTCCTTGGTCACTTGGGGTATTCCATTTTTGAAGATGTATATCTATGATTGTTTCAGTAAGTAAATGTTTAATAATTGTTAAATCAAAGAGCATAAACTTGTTTTTTCTACTTGGTACTACATTGCTTTCTTGTTCACAAAATTAAAGGGCATTATAACTAGGATGATAGACTTCAACTTCAAAATAGATTGTTTTAGAAAAAAGAAATGAAATGCCTCTTCCTTTCTTTCTATATATTTACTGTATCAATCAATCAATCTGTCTAGTTACATCTACCTATTCATCATATATCTGCAACTGTAAATATGAAAATCTTCATGGTACTTATTATACCAAGCAAGTAATATGGTTTAACTCTGTACATCTCATCTTAGTGTATAGCAACCATTTAAATCAATTACTTCTCAAATTTTCTTTTACCTGAGGAACGTATAAAAACCAAATTCTTGGGAGCTACTTTCACAGATTTTGATTCAGTAAATATAGGGTAGGTCCTGAACATCTGTATGATTAAAAAGCTGCCAAGGCTTTCTGTCTCAAATCAAATTTTAAGAACCACAGGTTTAGAGGCATTAATCCACTCCCTAGAAATTGTAGTGAACTGGGAGTGGTGGCACAAACCTATAATTCCAGCACTCTGAGGGGCTAAGGTAGAAGGATTGAAAGTTTGAGCCTATCCTGGACAACTTAGTGACTGAGCAAGACCCTGTTCAAAATAAAAATGTAGAAAAGAGGGATGTGACTCATTGTAGAGTCCCTGGGTTCAATGCCCCATTTCCTCCCTCCTCCTCACACACTGAAATTTAGTATTTGACTCACCCACAACATCAGCTATTACATGACAATTATGTCCTTTTGGACACACTTCTCAAAGTCATTCTGCATTGGGATGAATGAGTTTTATCTAGACTATTTAGACTTTCTTAACTGGGGGGGGTTGTTTTTTGTTTTTTGTTTTGGTTTTGGCACTGGGGATCAAACTTGGGACCTTGAGCTTGCAAGGCAGGCGGCAGCACCACTGAGCTAAATCCCCAGCCCTAAACTTTCTTAATTTTTATGTTTAAACTTAGGAAGGTAATTCTATTGCTTGTCTGGTTTTATACCAAATTTTTAAACTGCTCATCTGTCTAACCATACTGTGGATTAAAATTGTTCACTCATAAGTCATCTGAAGGAAATAATGGTGACAGAAAGACAAATGGACCAAAATGATTTCTAAAGATGATTTCTATTACTTTTTTTACTGATATGCAGCAAAATCCAAGTGCACAGCTTCACTCATAGGTGAGTCTACAACCCTGCATCTGTATTCCCCTGATTGAAGGGCCTCCAGAGTGTTTCCTCTTCGTTCCTTTAATATTCACTGTACCCTTGTATTTTCCTTAGCAAGGAAGAAATAAACCCATTCCAAAACCTTCACTCAGAGAGTTACCTCCTTCCTCTGTGTCCTGTGTATTACAAAGGTGTTTTCAGTTTTGCTTTCACAATATTTGTTCTCCTGGCCCAAGTGCATTCACCTCTTTCCAGATAAGTATGGCATGCTTCAGATACAATTTCCAAATAAGTCCTAAGGATCTTTACTCAATCATTTAAGGACAGATTCAAAATATAAGGATGCAAACATAGAGGAGAAAAACCAAAGGAGATGTGATTAAAAAAATCCCTGATATTAAAGAGTGTGTAAAAAACAACATCAATCTTCTCTACAGAGAGCTAAGTTGAACTGAAACAATTCTTAAAGATTTAATGAATTAATTTTCTTTCTCACCTGTAGAAAAGGTCAAGAGCACAGGGTCACTCAGAGGTGAGTTTTCAGCCTGGCACCTATACATCCCAGCTTCATGAACGTCTAGGATGTTGCCTGAAGTCTTTCCCAACATTTTTTCCCCATAGAACCCATAGTACCATTTTGTTTTCTCTGGTGCATAGAAATGAAATCCATTGCAAGTCAAATTCACTGTCTCTCCTTGGAAAACCGGGGTCCATGGAGGATAAAGGGAGATCACAGGTTTGGGTGCAGTTGCTGAGAAGGAGAGAGAAATGGATCTGAGGTAGAGGTGTCTGTGGTCCCAGTTGCAGAGGTTCTGGGAATATATGGGAGAACCTGGCTCTGGACAGGCCCTAGGAAAACCCAGAGAGAGTCACTCATGGGGTAAGGTTACAGGTCAGTCAGTAGCACTCACTTCCTCCCATGGAGAGTGCTTCGGGTATGGCAATGAACAAAGTGTTGTCAAAGGTGTAATCTACAGTATTCATTGTCCTGTTCAGGCTTAGTTAAGCAGTCGTGTAAGTGGATTCTAGAGAAAAATCACCCTGGTCCCTGCTACCTCATCCTGTTCCTAAACTCAGAAGAATTTACACAGGCACTGGAAAAATCATAATTTTGCATTTTCCTAAAATAATAAACAATTTCATCATAAGATTTTGGCACTGAGAAAAGCGTGAGAGATCACCTTGCCTAATGGGTTCATTTTATAGATAATGATTCAAATACCCAGAAAAAAACCCAATCAGATCTAATTGTGGAAGAACAAGAAATGAACAAGTCCTCTGCTAGAATCCAGAGATGATCTGGACAAGGGTACAGGTGGGGCAGCTGATTTTAGACAAGAAGAGGGGTTGCAGAGAATTCTTGCTATTTATGGGTTCCCAGATACCCAAAAAGAATAGCAATGAATCAGAATTCAGAAAATGCATTATACTAGTAAGTTTGCCTTTTCTCCCAGTCCCCCCTTTACATACATTTCTTCCTTGTAAGGACCCAGTTGTTAGATGTTCTACTGATTACACATTTCCTGGAAGATTTCACTTCTAAAATTGGCATCTCCAGCGCGTGATATTTTCAGTCAAGTTTTCCCAGCTTGCAGATTGCAGAGGACCTATCCTGAGTCCTGAATATTTATCATGAAGTTGAAGGTGTTCTACCTGGCAAAGTGGGGTCCATTTGCATGAGGAGTAAATACAGGGCCTAGCAAAGGCCAGCACCACATCACCCAGGAAGGTGGAGGTTGACCATGAAGCTACCCTGGTTCTTGAGCAGTGCCAAGAGATCAGGAACCCCTTCCACATCCCTTCTGAGCTTGGTAAGGAAATGGGAGATGTCAGGGATCCTCAGGTAGCGAGTACAAATATTTTAGGGAGACACTCTTATCTAGAGACACAGAAGAGCAAAAGAAAGGCGGACTCACCAAATTGTCCACTGGTAGGAGCTGCAAAGAAAATACAGAGCCAGGCATGAGCATAGAGCAGGGATTCTTTGCCTTTTCAAAGGTGATACATTTCCCCATCCCTCATTTTTCATGTAAAAATTCATTTATAAAATGTTAATAATTATTTATCAAATGCCTGTATATACTAAGGCATGGTGCTTAGATTTCTAAGATGAATGAAAAATGGCATCTGCTAGCAACAAGTTGGCTGGTGGGAGAAACAGAAACATGATGCCAAGTAATATAATATAAACATGACTCCCAGTGCTCTAATAGAAATACACATGGGGTATCTTGAGGGTGGAAGGGCCACTCAGTTCAGTGTGCAGCATGTTTGTGTGTATTGGAGAGGGAAGGGAGTGGGCCATGGAAGGCATCTGAAGTAAGTGAAGCTTGAGAAAACTGCGAATGAGAACATAGGAGTTAGCCAGGTGAAGGTTAGGATTTGTGTGTGGCAAGAGATGACAGGGAAGGGAATCAAGGCAGGAAAGGCATAGAAACTAAAATGTGACATTGATGTTCAAGGGCTTCGGGAGTCTAAAATGTAAAGAATCATGAAGAAAATAAGATTAGAGAAGAATTCAGGGCCCAAGTAAGTAGCTCCCATTTTTAAAAAGCCATGGAAAGAGTTCAAGAAGTGTGAAAAAGTTAGAATTGCCAACTTCAGTGGTCCAGTCTGGCAGAGGGCACCCTTCCATGAGACAAGGCAGGCAGCTTTTAGACCACATGGTGAGGGAGGGTGATGATAAACTTTCTGGAGAATGTTTACCCAAGATTATCTGAATTATTTGTTTACATGTTCATGCTTTTTAAACTTCTGTCCCCTTTCCAGAGTGCAAGCCCTATTAGATCAGGGACTTCTCCTCCGTTCACTAGATAATCCCTCAGAACCTACAACAGTGCCTGACATATAAAAGACATTCATTAAATGTTTCTTTATTGAAATAATGGATCAATGACAGAGCTAGATTAGTAATAGTTGAGATAAGGTACAAGTTTGAGAAGTGAATATTGAAGAAAAAAGGAGGTAAATCAACATATTTACAAATTATTTATTGAACAAAAATGTAAATAGAACATTAATTGTTATGATTACTCTATACATTTGGAGACTTTGTTCCTAGCTGCCACCACTGTCTTCAGGCCCAAGAAAGGAAGCCCTGAGCTATACAGTAAAGCCTGAAAATGCAGTTTCCTTGTGTGGGAAACTCTGAGCAGGGAAGTCTGGCCCCATGGAAGGAGACATCTATGGTGGAAAGAGAAACTGCCCAACCCAACCTCGGCCCGTGCTGAGCCCCCTACTCACCCAGAACCAGTAGTGTTGCCCACAGCAACATGAAGACTGGAACAACCCGTGGCTGAGACCAAAAGAGAAGTTTTCACAAGAATATCAGTTTTGATCTTGATTTTATAGTTAGTACACTGTTCACACCAGCCCCAAGGAGCACATCTGAGAAACTGCTTTTCTGCAAAAGAAATTAGTAAATCAGAAAAAAAAAGGAAGTGGGAGTACCCATCCACATGTACTTGTCAAAGTTTCCTGCCCTATGGTTAAAGTGAGAAAAATTAATGTAAGGGTTATTTAAAAAAATTACACCTCCTTAAACCCATATTTCTGCTATTGGGAAATTACCATAAGGAAAGTACATGACGATTGTTCTGTGAAAATATTTATTGTGCCATTATTCATTACTGCTTAAACAGGGGAACCATCATAAAAAAGCATGCACCTGGGGCTATTTAACAATATTCTGATCCATCTGCACCATGACAAGAACGAAGCCATTGAAAACGACTTGGTAAACCTTGTCCATGCTAAGATGGCAAGAACGCCCTGTTAATGAACTAGAAAAAAGGGAGGTGTGGATTGATTTATCATATTATCCTTTAGAATAAATGAAAAACATAGAATATATATGTTTACAAAGCAGTATAAGTACACAAAAAATAATGATTACATTTGAGGAATTACAGATGACAAAAGGGCATTTTATACCTTTTTATATTGTTGGATTTTTACAAATGACCATGTGCGTGTACAGATTTTATAATTTTTAAAAGTCAAATGTCCTGGGATATGGGTTAACAAATGTGCCTAAAATGTTACCTGCTATGACGAGTGATGGTTTCTTTCTTTCACATAATTTTTCCCTTTTTTTTCTGGACTTGAACTTTTGCCTACTTAATGGAACATTTAATTCATATCTAACAAAGCATATCACCTTAGGTATATTATGTCACAGCAGACGACTGTGCCCTGAGAAAAACATATGGGGCAAACAGAGATTAATCATCTCAGTCCAGTGGGAAAATCTCAAAAAGAAGAAAGATCTTTGTGTGCTTGTGGTAGTAAACAAATAGTGTAACTCTAAACATTCTTATATATGGCTCTGTGCATGTGGGCACACGTTTCTATTGGTCATGCATCTGGAAGTGGAATTACTGGTTCATCTGGTATGTGCATTAGTACTCGGTTTATAAAGTACTCCCAAATTATTTTCCATAGTGATTGTGCCAGTTCACACTCCACCAAGCAACGTGTGACAGTTCCCATTGCTCTAAAATCCTTATAGGTATTGTCTTGTAAATTTTAGTCATTCATTTTGCTGGGCTCATCTTAATATGGTTTTAATTTTATGTCCTTGATGAATTATGAGATTCAACACTTTTTCATATTCTAACTGGTGATTTAGATATTATTTTTATGTGAAATGCTTGTTCAAATCTCTTTCCATTTTGCTATTGGATTTTAGTCTTTGTCTTTTGTAGTTCTTTTAATGTATTCTTGTTATATGTACATATTCCAAATGTCTTTCCCCAATCTGTGACTTCCCTTTTTGCTGTTTGATAGTACCTTCTAATGAAAAATATTCTAGTTTTGATATAATCCAATTCAACAATCTTTTCCTTTCTTATTAAATATTTTTATAATTCCTTCCATTAATTTTTGTCTGCTCCAATACCTTGAAGATATTCTTCTTGGTTATCTTCCAGAAACTTTATTTGTTTCATATCTATAGTATTGTTGCAACTGATTTTTTACAGTATGAGTGAACATTTACATTCAGTTTTAATGTATATATAGACAGCCACTTTATCCAGTCTTATTTATTAAAAATTGATTGATTTTACAATTCAGAGAAACTTTGTATTTATCATAAAACAAGAAACTGGGTGGATCTGTTTCTGGAGATAGTTTTTTGGTCTATTTGTCTATCTTCACACCAGTACTACACTGTCCTAATTATTGTTGTTTTATAATAAATCTTATTATCTGATAGTTTATGTCATCTAATGCTTTTCTTTATGAAAATTGTTTTGTCTATTTTTGACTTTGTATTTTTCTGTATATTTAAAAATCAACTTGTCAATTTCTATCACTGTCTATCCTACAGAAGTTGCAAAGTGTGGTTTTACTTTCTTATTATTATGTTTGTATGAGTCTTTAGAAGAACTCTGGAGGTGGTAAATCTATTTCTCATATAAAAGGAATGTAAGTATTTGTGATTAGAGATTGTGGACTGTCTCCTAAGATGACTGATAACAATTCCTTTCATATTTGTGTGCTATTCTTCTCACTGAGAAATAAAGTCCATATTCATTGCCCTTGAACCTAGCTAGCCTCCTGATTTGCTTTGACCAATAGAATGTGGAAGAAGTAAAGCTGTACTCTTGAAGTTTGGCGATGTCTGTTCTTCTGGTTTTTCTCTCTTGGAGCCCTGAATTACTATGTAAGGAAAGTGATTGTCATATATGAGAGACTCCCAGACAACCCCAGCTATTCCTGCCTTCCCAAATAAGCCATGAGACTCATGGATTAAGCTAACCTGGGTGTTCCTGAGTTACAGCCCCTGAAGAGTTACAGTCCCAACATTATGTGATTATTACATGATCTCCCATGTCCCCTGATGATACAGGCACATTAATGATCCCCAAATAACTCGGCTCCCTGGTTGAACAACCCAGTAACCATTAATGTTTTATATCACAAGGTTCTGATGTAGTTTCTTATTCAGCAATGGGTAACTGAGATGGACTTATTCTCTCTTCTTTAGGAATGTTTTTTCATCAGTAAGCAATAATGTATTTATTCCTAATATTGCTTTTACCTTAAAGTTTATTTTTCTTAATATATCCAGCTTGTTCATCATATAAAGAATACTACTTTAATCTACATCCTCACAAATTTTAGTCCACCTCAATCTTGATTTCTCCTATGGCATAACTCTTTTATGCACACATGTTCTAATTTTATTGCCTTCTTTCTAATTTTCATGTTTTATTTCTATTCGCTATTATTCATTGGCTACTACTTTATGGCAGAGACATTTACTGATTCCTGAATAGCCATATGCTCTACATTTCCCAGCCCCACACTGTAGAGGACACGTGACTTGTGTGTCTAATAGTCTGAAAGCGAAAGTGATATATACTATTTCCAGGTTGAAATATACAAGAACAGGTATGAAGTGCCGATTCATCACTTCCTTGGCTTCAGGAAGCAATTTATATTCCGTGTGTCATAGAAAGAGCAGTTATAGAAGGGTGATGTTTCAGCTTGGGTCGGTTGCTGACTCATGTGGGAAATATCACTGAAATTAGAGTAAGCATTTTGGGAGAGGAAGGTGTTTTGTTTTGTTTTGTTTTGAGACAGAATCTCACTATATTGCCCAGGCAAGTTTTGAACTTTTAGGCTCAAGAAATGCCTGGCCTCAACCTCTCCACATAGCTGGGACTGGAGGCATGCACTGCCACACCCAGCTTAAAGTGGGCTTTTACTTGTATGTGTTGAGTCACTCACTTTTTGGAACTGATTATTACCACAGCACAAATTGTCCTTTTCTAGATTAAAACCTACTACCAGAACAATTCCAAATTGCCATACTTCTTTCCATCCTCATTAGAAATTCTTTTATTATTTTTTTTTGGTACCAGGGGTTGCAGAAATTATTTTAGTATTCTTCATTCAAGGCAAACCTGACTTTTGGCTTGATATATAACTATTATCATATTAAGGGAGGATTTGTCTAGTTTTAATTTTTATGTGCTCCAGGACCACTAAAGTAATTTTACAATTATCCATCTAAAAATTACATGTAGCAGAGTCTAGAGTTTACAAAGTTAAGCATTTAACATATTTAGTAAGAAGTTACTATATATATATATATATATATATGTCAGACTCTTCTAAAGCTAAAGAATACCCCTTCTTTTCTTTTTAAAGCCCAATGTAGATATGTCTACAGGTCTATTTTCACTACCAGCTTTATTCTTCCCTTGGTTTTGTTTGGATTTCACTGTGGTTAGAAGTTGTTCTTCAGAGTTTGTAAATTGGGGATGTGGCTCTTTAAAAGTTTACTTGAAGATAGAGTTTCATTTTTCAACTATTAAAAACCTTGTGGTTTGTTTCAGAAAGTAAAATGTGGTAGGTATGTTTTTATTCTGAACTGAAAGTTTTTTATCCTAATAATAGCTATCATATATTGGATGATTATTGTAATACAGATCACACCAGATGCTTTGTAAATATTACCTTATTTAATATCTGCATCAACATTAAAGCAGTTTAGTGGTAAAATAACACTAGCAATGTTCGCTGAGGCAGATAGTGTCATCCTCATTTTAAAAATGTGGAAAATGGTCAATTAATTTCAAGTATTTTGTAAGTCAAAAGACTCAGGACAATAAGTGGCAGCACCAGGGCTCAACTCCAGATGTGTTTGAGCTTCACCAAGTCAATAAAGAGACTCAGTAGTCACTGGCATTCTCACAGGAATCCAGATGCAACAAACTTCTTCTCAAGCCAGCTGCAAAAGTGGCAAAGTCCATGGTTAAATGATTACATCTCAAAAGCAATTAGTCAGGGCCTATTATGGTGACAGGAAATGGAAACTCAGTCCTCTGAAGTCTAAAAATTAACACTGAGCTATTTACAAAATGTACAGATCATAGATAAAGGTCTTTGGAAGGCATATTTAAAGCAGCAAGTAGGGAAGAGCTACAGTGATTTCATGGTTGTTGGGTGGGCCTGGAGTTAACTCTCAGGGTGGTGTTAAACAATTTGAAGAAGGGATGGAGTCTCTGAGTGACAGGGAGCATTCTGTATGCTGATAGGAAGGTTCTCAAGCCATAGCATCTAGGAGAAAAATGATTCATAAAGGAAAAATTGGTCCAAGAAAAGAGGAAGTTCTGGTCACAACAACAAATGTGGACAAAAGAAAGATTTAATTTCTTAAGTGTGAATGTTGGATGATATTTTCCTGAGGAAAAATCTTAGACAATGTTCTGCCATGAGAGTTAGTCAAAGGAGTATAGGCTTTGCCACCAGAAAGACTCAGGGCTCTGCCACTTAGCAGCTGAGTGACCTTCTACAAATTATGAAACTTGACCTTCATTTCCTTCATCTTAAAATGAAGGAAATGCTCACTTCATAATATGCTCACTTCA